TATTTCATGGTAAATTGACTGGTTTTATGCTTAAGTGACCTGGGAAGGGATGTGGCTGAAGAAGTGATGTCATTCATCACAGTTTACATTGCAGAGAGCAGTGTCAGTATTTCATTTTCTTAATTTATAACTTTGATTGGTAAGCTCTCTTAGCTCTATAATAAAAAATGTTTCATATTCCTAATATTCACATAGCACTGTTAATAGAAAGCCCACTGGCCAAGTTGCTTTGGCATAATGTGCTTATGATTTACTCAAGATGTTGTGAAAGGTTTTGTAAAGTCTAGCTTGTTTGAGTATATAAAATTATCATTTTTATTACAGCTTTTTATTTATCATAGTACATAAAATGACCTTGAAAAACCCCAAAGAATGTTAAATTGATAGATATTTTACTTTGCTGTATACAATTAACATTTATTGCAAATGTAAATATTTATGAGAAGTAAATGCTAATAGTATTAAAGGAGATATATTTTACTTTATTCAGAATGCAGTAAATCACTGAATTCTCAAATGTTTCCAATCAGAATAATTCCTTATATATTTTAGCATAGGCCTGTAGGCAGTAAATGAAAAGGTAGTGCAGAACTTCTAATATATAAAAGTTTGCTTCATTCCATCTTGTAGAAAAAGTCTATAGTCAAAGTTAGGTGCTACAAATTTCTGTGTAGTTCTCTTGACACCATATCTTCTTAGATGCAAATTTGATTCCTTGCCTTAAGTCTTTAAGGTTCCGAATTTGTTTAAAAAAATCACTAATTGATTTGGGGGGGGGTTGTAGATTAATATCTCTTTTGCAGTACTCAACTCTCCCTCCTTATACTGATCTTATAATCACATCGTTTAAAATCTGATCTTATAATCACATCATTTAAAATCTGATTCTTCTTGAGGCTTTCCAACTATAGACTCCCCCTCCCCCCTTTTGGGGGGCCTTTTTTTAGTCACTTCCTTTTGTTTGGAAATTTAACTTAAAGCACTTAGGACTATAGCTGATGTATTATAAGTGCTGAATTGCTTTTAGTTATGTTATTTCCCAGTGTTGTTGTGACCAATTACCAAAAGCTCAGTGACCCAAAACAACATAATTTTATTGTGTTATAGTTCTGGAAGTCAGAAGTTCAAAACAGAGTGCTTGGATTAGCATAGAAGCATTGGGAGTTGGCTGGAATGCCCCGTTCTGCAGGCTCCGGAGAGGCAGCTCTTGCCATGCCTTCCACAGCTTCTTGAGGTGGCCCACGTCCTCTGGCTCTTTTTGACAGCAAGCAATCGCATCATGCAGACTTTTTCTTTCAGTCACACCTCTTTCTCTGACCTTCTTGTGTCCCTCTTCCTTGAAAGAATTGATTACATTAGGACCATTTGGATTCACAGTAAGATTCTTAACTTCATCGCCTTGCATAATCTCTCTGCCATGTGTACATTACTTAATTCCCTATTGCCTTTAGAAGAAATTACTGTATACTTAATAACTTATAACAACACAAATTTATTTTCTTACAGTTCTGGAGGGCCATAGTCCAAAATCTGATTCCTTTAGTTTAAAAAAAAACCAAGATGTAGGCAGCACTATTTCCCTCTGGAGATTCAAGGGAAGAATCTAGGGAGTGTGTGTCTTTGCTCTTCTGCCTTCCAGAGCCTACCTGTAATGGTTTATTCATAGCCTCTCTTCCATAGTTTTCAATCCCAGCACCTAGCACCTTGAAATATCTTTCTGTGACTACAACTTTTACTTCTGTTAGCACATTTCCATTTCTCAAACAGTGACCCATCTCCCTTTTTTAGTAGAATCCTTAGTATTAGCATTGGACCCACCCTGGTAATCTAGGATAATCTTCCCATCTCAACATCCTTATTTTAATTATCCAAATGATATGCAAAATCCTGCTTGGTACATCAAGGAACACTTACCCAGGTTTCAGAGATTAAGATGTGGACCTATAGGAGCATTCATTCTACCTATCACATCAACTTTATATCCAAACTCCCTCTTAAATTTCTATTTAAATGGTCCAAGGACTCATTGGCCATTGACTTCTACATTCCTGCCTGAATCTCAGAATCTATTTTCAGTACAACCTCTTTCAGCCCCCAAAGTGACCTGCTCCTCTTCCTACCTCTGCTGTTTGTTCCACTACCCCAGCTCAACCCTTAGGATTTCTTTCTTGATTATCAAAGATCTTTAGTGTTTTGATCTTCTGAGGATATATCAGAGTAAAATACCATTTTATTATTCATTTCTATTTTTTGTCTTTAGCTAAGTCAGATTATTGTGCTTAAAAATAAATTTAATTGTGTATATTTGAATATTATATGATGATATTTTTAATTTTAAAAATTTACAGACCATACTGTTTGGAAATGAGAAAGGGAATGATTATGAAAACTCTTTAAAAGGTCTTCCTATATGATAAAATATACAGGGCATATTTACTCCATGCAGTTTTATGAGAATCACATATGTAATTAGCATGGAGTGACTGAGAATGTGAGTTCTTTGTAATTTAAGGGCTATCAGTACACCAGTGTGAGATAGACCTTTAAATCTGACTATTTACATAGGAGAATGTATGATTCCTCACAGCTACAAAAACAGCACCTTCTCTCCACTTGTCTTTCAAATTATGCAGGGAGGTTTGGGGGTTTTGCTCCTTAATTTAAGCCCCTAGAGACGCGATCAACAAGGACTCACTGTGTATTTGAAGAGCCTTGGGATGAGAAGAGAGAGTTATCTTGATGGAAATTGAAGAGTGGAACAGTTGTTCTCTGAAAAGGAAACCAGGAAAAGTGGACATTTCCTACAGATCCAAGGGCGGGACAGTTCCCTGCAGTTTTACTGGTGCTCAATTTCAGCAGCCTCCTGTCAGTTCAGGTTCCTGAGAAGCAGACATCATGATAGGATTAAAGGATCAGACTTACAAAAGATTACAAGGGAAGTACCTATGAAGGATAAGAGGGAGGGAACAGAAACAGGAGAGTGATCCTGAGAATGGTGTTCATGGTTCTGAGGCTCCATATCTATGCAAAATAAAAGAGAACTTGGAAAGGAAAATGTCAGCCTGAAGGTCAGTTCTGAGACTCTTGTGATCATTATAACGGGGAGTCTCTAAGCCCTAGTTGCCTGTTAGAGAAATCCTGCACTGGGCAGGAATGTGCCAGCATCACTGCTTGTACAGAATTCCCCTGTCCAGGAACAGCCCAAGGACATGTGGCTGTGTCACCACTAGGGTAACAAATGGAGGCCATAGTTCAACCGAATTCTGTGGGGTAGGTTCCCTTGAAATGACATCTAAGTGGGGCACCCGTGTTGGCCACACTCCAGCCCTGGATCCATACATATCTACATCTTCATGCTCATTCTAGGAGTACCAGTAGAATAATTTTGATTTTGACTTCATTCCTTTATTTCTGATAATCAATTTCTATGTCATGTACACAAAGTCATCATAATCTCTATAGTAACAAAATATTGTAATAATATTTAAGTATTAATATTAATTTCAAGATTAAAATAAATACTATACCTGTAGATCATATAATACATGCTGTTTTATGTTGAACATTTTCAATCAAAATATATTTGCGATATTTATTGGCATGGAGTTATTCATATATTCTTATTGCTTTATAATATTCTCTCTTATAAATTTAGCAGATTTTAAGATATCTGACTGTCACTGAATTCTTTCCGTCAGTCTCAATTTAGTATAAACTGGTTTAATAAGGTTAACCTCTCGATTCTAATGCTCAGCTAAGGTATACCATCTTGGGGAGTGGTAGAAGTTTTAATCCAACTGGCTAATAGAGTGGCATATCCATGTTAATTATATGGATAGAGTACTTTGAAAAGCAGAGTAAGATTGCCTGCCTTCTTTCAAGATGGGGAGGTTGGGAGGTTAGGCCTGGTTACTGAAAGCAGCAGGACTATAATTCATTTCCACCAGGTTCTTAGCAAGCTCTCCCCACTGCTGGACTTCCACGTGCCCTGCACTCCAGCTGGAGTGATTTTATTCCCATTTGTCTGAGTGTTCTCTTGTCCTTCAAGGTTTGTTCTTCATTCATAAATGCATGTTACCTCTACCTTCTCTGAAATCCATAGCACCTCTCATCCAACTCTCACACATCATCTCATTGTAATTTGTCTTCTTCTACCAAATGGAAAGATCCTTTACCATATGAATTATGCCTTAAATGTATTTGAACATGTTATCCACTAAATTTATTTTAATTCCATATGTTTTCCAAATGTTCTTTGGAAAAGCAATGCAGTAATTAACCATGCAATAAGGTTAATGCAGTTATAAAAGAAAATCAAGCCAAGGAAGAAGGAAGCCAGTACCCAACCACAGTAATTATGCTGAAATATCAACTTGGTGCTGCACAATCTGAGCAGCTAGAATCAAACAGCCCTCACTATCTCAAATAAAAGGAACAATAACTCTTTCAGAGAAATTTTGTCTACCTGGGCACTAAATTTCAGGAGAGCTATCATGCTGGACTTTATTTTCATAGTTAGTTTAAGAGCAGTGTGTGGAAAGACCCAGGGGCAAGAAGGAAGAGGCCTTGTATCGAGCCTTAGTCATGAAGGGATTCATATGCAAGTTAAACAATTCTGCATTACTCCTCAAAAATCAAGGAATTGTACACAGTGTGATATCAGGAATTGCTGTTAATAGACTGATGATTTTGAAATATCATAGAATGTGTACTATGGAGATAAAAATGAAAAGGGAGCAAGACCAAGCCTCAGAGGCCTGAGAGGCGGCATCTGTAGTAGAGATAATGACAAAAGTAACAGTGTTGCTCCCACCAGAATGTTCATCATCTGTGCTCTCCATGATAAGAATGAATGAGGAATCGTACCACCTAACTGCTTCTGCTCATGACCTGCAACAAAATAATGAGTATTCCTTTGAAGCAAAGGTAATTATGTTTATTTCTAATCTGTGGAAAGCTTTAATAATGGAATTTCTTTCTCTCTTCAAAAATTTGGTTAGAACTATCCTATGCTTGGATCTTCAATGAATATCCATCATTTGTTGAAGAAGATAGTCGGAGGTTCGTCTCTCAGGAGACAGGGCACCTCTACATAGCTAAGGTGGAGCCATCTGATGTGGGAAATTATACGTGTGTAGTTATGAGTATGGTGACAAACGCCAGAGTCCTGGGCTCTCCAACTCCTTTGGTGCTGCGTTCTGATGGTATGAAATGTTTTAAAGTATAATTCTGCATAAAAATGGTGTTGTGACTATAGGCAAAACCCAGTGAAAAATATATGTGGAAGAATTGTCCCTTCCATTCTTTCTTCATTAGACAATAAGGAGGGAAGAAGGAGGGGACAGGGGTAAAGAGAGGCAATAGAAGGAATGAATATGACCCAAACATATCATACACCCCCAGTAAATGTGAAATGAGGGGCAGAGTGGGACATGAGGGGGGATGAGGACGAATGCAAACACTATGTACTGCAAACATGTACTTATACAAAATTTAAATATGATTCTATAAGCCATAACCCTTATTCAGGACTACCTTTATAATTTGCCAGGACCAATACAAAACGGAAACAAAGACTCACTCCCTCCTTCAAAAATTACTAAGAATTTCAAGTTATTGAAATAAGCATGGCACGGAGCATTCACAGAGCATTGCAACAGTCCTGAGACCCTTCAGAGCCTGAGGCCCAGGCTGTATTTCTATCACTACAGTGAAGTCACCAGTTTTGACTTTTGCCAGCTTGAGGTTTTGAAAGCTCTGAAAACTTTGTTATAGACTAAAAAACATCACTAAAGAGTAAAAGGAAAAAAAATTCTGTTTCATCAACACCTTGATAGCTGTGTAAGAGGAGTCTATAAATTGCTGTGGAAGCCAATTTATTAGCTTGAGTAGTTGACCCATTTAAACTAAACCATACCTGATATAGCATAATAATGCCAGAAACACAAAGCATCAAAACATCTCTTTCTAGAAGTTATAATTGAACCTGACCTTTCCCATTTATTAAGTCACTGTTTCTTGACACCAGGGTGTCTTAATAACTTTAAGACTGGTGTCGATGCTACCAGAGTACCATTAAATAAGTTAAGTAAATTCCCTAATGTATCTTTCATTCCTTGGGAAATTTTAGGAAGTCATAATACATTGTATGTTTCAGTTTGACTGGAAATATCCACACTGAATGCAGAATTTCAACAGTCTACTACTTTATATAATATGAAAGACCTAGAGGTTTTAGTAGAAATGCTCTGTACCAGATAACTTAGGACTACTTCAAAATCATCAAATCCAAAGCTCATAAATATTTATTAATATTCACATTTGATCCATTTTAGCATCTATGAATAATTTACATCACTAGAAGATGCTGGTTCAAAATGGAGCAAATAGACTGGTATGGTGATCTAGACCTATAATTCCAAGGCAGGAATATTGCTAGTTCAAGACCAACTTGGTCTTGAACTATATAACTGGGTCCTGTTGCAGAAAAGAAAAGAATGGGACAAAGAAAGTTTTAAGACAATAAAGCAATTCCAAAGGAAACATTAAGAGTATTAACTCTGTTTTGTGCATCATAGGTGTGATGGGTGAATATGAACCTAAAATAGAAGTTCAGTTTCCAGAAACTCTTCCAGCAGCTAAAGGTGCAACTGTAAAACTGGAGTGTTTTGCCCTTGGAAAGTAAGTTTTCTCATACTCACCTCGCTGTGCTCTAATGTAAGTTTGCTGTAAGACATTAGGGTGATTTTTGACACATGTGCTTTCTTCACATATGCAGTGCTGTCTGGAGGAAGACAATTTGGAGAAAATGGCTATGCCTGACTAATTTCATAGAGTAAATTGGTGTCATTTTTCTTTTCCCTCTTCATTTGTTGTGTTCTAGTATGGTCATATGTATTAAGCTTTTTTTTCTTGTAAATCATGAATTGACTTGAAAATGCACAGCACATTTTATTAAAATATCAACTTAAAGATATAAATGTGCTAAAATGCCAAGTTAAAGATGTAATCTTACCATCATATTTGTGCAGTTGACAACTGGGGGGTGTCATGCATTTAAACTTCTGCCTTTTCTCTATCTTGACAAACACTTTGTCAAGGCTTATCTGCTTCTGGATAACAAACAATAAACAGTGTGACAATTTTCCTCTTAGCCCTGTACCTCAGATTAACTGGAGAAGAAGTGATGGAATGCCATTTCCTGCCAAAATCAAGTTGAGGAAGTTCAATGGTGTGCTTGAGATCCCGGCCTTCCAGCAGGAGGATGCAGGGTCCTATGAATGCATTGCAGAGAATTCCCGAGGAAAGAATGTAGCCAGGGGGCGTCTCACTTACTATGGTGAGCATACACTGTGAGCAAATGGAATCTGTACCTTCTGCTCCCACATCTATAAAATACTAGTTCTTTGGAGTTGGGGGAGAAATTATGGCAGAATTTTAATTATTTTACTTGTTTTGTTCTCATTTTGTTCAGTGAGTATAAGCATTTATCCTGAGAGAAATTAAAAAGAAAGAAAATTTGTAACAAAGTTCAAAATATATTCCTTTTGCATTTGAAAAAGATGTGTATGATAATGAAGTATTTCATACTTTTTTTTCCAAGAATAACCTTTCACATGCTTATACACATTAGAGATATTTTCTGCGTACCCTCTCTTCTAGGAAAGGTAATTTTATAGCATTATTACCTTTACTAAGCAGGAAAAAAACTCCCTACAGGGAGAAGTTGCAATTTCAGTATTAGTCAAACCAAATAAACTCAGGTTTGGGTTGAGTTATTCAGTATTATTCTATCCCCTCCAATAATGTATCTGTACTCTATTTGCTGCCTTTAATTTGTAATCACATTTATTTGATATACTGCTCAGTTTGGATAAAAAAATAATAATTTTGCCTTCATTTGGAGTCTGTTTGTACAATTATATTCTTTTTTTCTTTTCAAAATTTGTTTTCAAATGCCTTTTATTTAAAAATAAACCACAAGGTTTTGATGAAAACATTATTTAGAAAGTATAAATACCTGATTTTACAAAATGCACCTATAAAATGTATGAAAATGTAAGCTCAGTGAATATGTATTTCCAGGTTGATCATTTGAAACATTGTAAAACTAGTGGGAATTCACCAATTTTGTAAAAGGCAAATCACATTATAGTCTAATTATTTTAGAAACTGAAAATTGGTACAGTTTGTAATGCAGACTCTTGCAACACACATAAATGTTGGAAGGAGCATGTTTACAAAGACAGTTATTGAAATCATGAACCCCCTCAAAAGTGTGGGGTCCTCAAGTACATTATCTCTGTCAAGATTAATTCTTGTTATGGTAATGTAAATTTTTAGGTTCTGTTAAGGACAAAATGCAGCTAAGGATTACTGGCATGAGTCAGTCCATATAATACATATTATGTATATATAAATATACATATATACATATATGTATATTTATATATACATACATAATCTTATCTTGCGATAGGATTAGTTTAGCATATGGGGAAGGGTCCCACTAGGGAAGTGCCCCAAAAGCCATGGTCTGTGACATGGTAGGAAGATATGCTAAAGATAATGTTGGTAGAAAAGAGGTAAGCACTGAATTCATACATCTGTACAACTCTAAGACCCCACAAAGCAAGTAACATTTTCTTAGCCTCTAGCTTACTTCTTTCTGAAGCAGTTAATTTTGTACAAATTGAGCTATTCATCAAATAAATGTGATTATATTCTTCACTTACTTGAAGAATAAAATCATGGAACAAAGAGGAAGTTAAGAGAGTTTATATTGGAAATAATAATAAGAGAATAGTTCTTGGTTGATGCTCATCAGGAGGGGGTTCTGGAAGTGAAATTGCCATCATACTTTTATTTGTTTTGGGCTATATAGATAAGCAGAGCACAGGAGAGTTTGTAGAATTTTTTCTAAAAATTAGTTACTTAGTTTGTCAAATTCAAAGGAAACTGGTTATTTTGCATTTCTAATGTTCAGTCCTGAGATAGCAAGAAACAGTCAACTACCTTAGCATACACTGCACAAGAACCTTCTTCCTAGGAGGAAGCGTCTTTCTCTCTCCATTCCTATGCTAACCTTTTATCTTTTTTTTTCCTGTGTTTTCTTTTTACATTTCTAAGTTTAACTAGCTGCATGATTTGAATTAGCTCTGTATGTGTGCTATTTTCTTTTTATGCAGCCAGCTCTATTTTAGGCTGTCCTTACTTATAGGAGAACTCACTAAACTGTCTATTATATTCTGTTACATTCTATTACATTTTTTCCTAACTATCCACTGCCTAATCACTCCTAGAGTAAGAACATGCAATGTATTCTAGCTTTCTTAGTGTTTGAGTAGAATGGTTTTAGCTGTATGTAACAGCATACCTGCGTAAATAATAAGCAAGTCTATGCCGCATATGATGAAAAATCTTAAATTAAGTTGACCTTCAAGTATCTTATTATCAGTCCATGACTGTTCATATTTTTTGTTTCTGATCTTATCTATCATTTTTCCCTTTTCTACATATTACTACTATATCACTATAATTACCATTGTATATTTCCACCATAACATAAAATGACTGCCAGCAATGACTAGTACTTCAAGTGTTACTCATTCTTTTTCCAAAACATGTAGCATTCCTCTTTTCAAATCATATTGGCTATATGTTCAACTATATACTAGTTACTAGAAAGGAGAAATTGGATTAGACACCTTAAAAACCTTCCATTGCAACAGAGTATACAATAAAATTTCCCTAGAATTTATGGATGATGTGAAGTGATGTAGGACAAGATAACAGAATGAAAAACTAGAGTTATTGGAAGAATAAAAATGAGAGAAAACTATTGCATAATAGAAAGTCAACAGCTTTTACTATACTTAGTAAAGGAGGCAGACTTTTGGTTTAGTCAATTTTGTAGATAATGTGATTTGCAACTAAGAAACAAATTATGTATTAATGAAATAGAGAGTTTCCTGACATTGCTGTATAAATTCTGCTTAAGCTTACTATATTCAGTACATTCCAGATAGTTCTCTGGTTATCTGATCTAATAGTCCATGTAAAAATGGTTCAAGAGAACATTTGGATCTTATATGATAGATGAAGAAGGAAACCATGATTAATGTTGCAGTTGTAATTTTAGGTTTGTCTTAGTCCAGCAAAGTATCCTCCTATTTGGATAAGGAAGTGTAAGTATAGACAGCTCCTAGAAATTTCTACTATAAACTCTGGTGTTTGTCAAAGTCTTACATGAGTTTCATTTAATCACAGGCTAATAATACCACAAAGAGGAATATATGTTTTAATATAAAGTAGACAGAATTAACTTAGGAGTGAACTATACTTTTACTGGACAAGTAGTTTTTAGTAAAAAACAAAACAAAACAAAGAATTAGACCTGTACATTTTCAGTAAAAGCTAAATAGCCATAGTTTCATTTCAATTTCATTTTTTAAAAAACCAATTTTATGAAATAGACATGGAAAGACAAATCTTCCCATAGTTACAATTAAATAGAAATAGATAAACTGTTTCCCCATATGGAGGATGCAAATGTGAATCCCACAGTACATATCACATGCATAATGCAATGTGAAACTGGTAAGACATCTCACCTCCCAGTTTTGGATCTAAAACACAAGCTGAGACTTGGCTGAATATGCCATGTATATTGAGTGGCTTTCATTGGAAGTGGAATGTTTCTTTCATCTGCAAAAAGAATTTTTAAGATACCTTGTAAAACATAAGTGAAAATGATTAATCTACTTGTTCCAACTGATTTGCATACATAATTTGAAGTTGCATCAGTTATTTCTTTTTCTGTTAAAAAATCGTATGATTCAAATTAAACCAATTTATCTATTTTTGGCTGCTTTCACTTTATTTTTCTCAGAGGTTTGTAAGATGCTCACTGGTTTGTATTTAATTAAGAGTTATTTCTGGCTTGAAGGAAATATCTTTTTCCTTAACCTTAGAAGTTTCTCTCCTATGGATATTAATATTTAGTTCTTAATTAAGAGTAGTATTTACTGTCACTTAGTTATTAAATTGTCATCAGTTGTGGTCTCATGATACAAAACTACTTGGAAAAAAATTAATTTTGTTTCTGCATTGTTACCTATTAATAGAGGGATATCACACAGTGCTCAGAATTTTGAAATGAAGAAACCATGGTTAGTTTTGCTCAGGGCATGACATACTGCAATATTCACCTGCAAGTCTAGAGATCTTTCATAGTCCACTTAGTAAATACTGAACTAAATATAATTCTAGCCTCTCGGCTAACTTTAATCTATTACTTGCAGTCCTATATTTATTTTTATTTACTTGGATAGAGTATTTATTTTTTATTTGCTGGATTTTCTGAATTTCTTTTCTTTTTTCCCATTGCAGCAAAGCCTCATTGGGTTCAATTCATAAAAGATATGGAAATGGCTGTGGAGGACAGTATTTACTGGGAATGCCGAGCGAGTGGGAAGCCCAAACCCTCCTACCGATGGTTGAAAAATGGAGAAGCCCTGGTGTTAGAGGTAAGTAAGGTAATGTTCTTGGTCAATTTGCCCTCTACCTGCTTTATGTTAAGTAAACGCTTCCTTTGGTTCCTAGTACCAAAGTGAACAACTGATTTTATACAATATTGTTTTTATCTAAGGAGTGATACAAGACAATAACATAAAAATCCAGTACCTAGTCTGCCAATAAGATCTTTTCAACATTGCATTTCATTGAGTAAAGGTGGTTTTATGAATTTAGTTACAAAATAATATACTGTTTCTTGGTATTGAAAGAAGAAAAGCCTGTACTTTAATCAAATGTAGAAGGTAATTTCCTTTTCCTGTTTGACAACTTGGTATGGCCTCTAGAGAATAAATATATATATTGCTTGGTTACCTTGTTTCATGAATAGTTATTTTCTCAATGATTTTCCCTCTCAACCCATGTAATTTTGGGTCTTTTTTGTGTGTACTAAGTCAATTATGTTCCTTTAAATTTCTATACAGAACCATTCATACTTTCTAAAAACCCTTGTAAATATGTATGTTTCCCAGAACCTTTTTTTAAGGCACTGAATTTATAATGTGTTCAGCTTGTATGATTTTTTAAAATGTGTGTTGAAAATACTTCTAGTTGATGCGATGGAAATCAAGAATTTTTTTTAAATTGAAAATTTTAACCATACAGAAGAAATTAAATGACTACCATAGTTTACCTACTGCTTTGATACTTGTCTTACTTACATGCTTTGGGGCTGAGTGATGTTTGTTCATAGTTCCAATGAGTCTTTCAAATTTCAAAGAAACAAAGGTTAAATTTCAGGTCAGACTGCTGAACACTCAGAGGAAAATGTAAAAGTCTTGTGTCTTATTGAAATGAAATTCAGTTGTATTCATTTTTCTTCTAAAATGTTTATATGCAAGGCATTTTTATTATTGCCTAGGAGAGAATACAAATTGAAAATGGCGCTCTTACAATATCAAACCTAAATGTAACCGATTCTGGGATGTTCCAGTGCATAGCTGAAAACAAGCATGGTCTCATCTATTCCAGCGCTGAACTCAAGGTTGTTGGTAAGACTGATTTTCTCTGTTCACGTGTTTAGTTCTTTTGTAAATCTCCCATTTTTTCCAGAAGCCAACATATTTATTTTTCATGTTAAATTCCTACATCTAATAACATCTACAGTATTACTACATGATTATTTAGAATTTCTAATCAAGGCACACAGTTCAATTATTTCTAAAGAAAAGCATCAGTTGTATCCAGAATTAAGACCCAAAGGTTGAAGTAAATCAACAGAAGAAAGTTCACCTAATGTATCCTTATCTAGGTCCAATGTTATGGACTAAGATTTGCCTCTTAAAAGAATAAGTGATTTTGGTGTTTTCTGGCCCATGAAAGCAAATACTAATATTTGAATCTAGAATGTTTGATTCAAAAGGTGTTGGTTTTGTCTTTATTAACCCTGTTAGAAACATCAAATATGGGTCATGCTGAAACTTTATGTACCTCTATTACTTAAAATTATGAATTACTTTCTTGTTCTTGAAACTTAGGTATAGGAGAAAAAAGAAAATATTCCATCACGTTTAGGGCAATTGTCTTGAAGAACACTTAAGTTGCAAAAGATTGAAAATTCAACCACAATGTCATAGCATTGAATAAAATGGAAAAGGAAGAGTGGAAGAGAGGGAAAAGGAATTGGGGAAGGAAGTTCATCAGTCTCTGTAATTAAAATGGAAAATTTGGATTTCAGTATAACTTGATCCAGGCAGGGCTTACATAGCACTTATCAGGTTCTATATGATGGTTCTCAAGACGTTTAGTTTGTTACCCACAGTTAATTTACTGGGAAAAATGGCTGTCTTAATTTGAGCAATTGCTCAAATAGAACTCATTGTCCTGCATGTTATTGGTCAGATGTAACTTGATTTGGATCTTTACCAATTCCTTACCCAATCCATATGGCCAGAAGGTTATAAGGCTGAGCTGGGTTTTAACTCAGTGGTCCTCAACTGAAAACAGAGAATATATTTTACCCCAGAGAATATATTTGGAAATGTGTGGGTGTTTTTTGTTTTGTTTTGTTTTTATGGTTTTTTTTTTTATTTTGTCATAACTAAGGGATCGGGGAGAAAAAGTCCTTTGTGTGATATTAGTGTATTGTAAGTAGAAGCCAGAAAGGGTGCCAGGCTTTCTAAAATCCAAAGACTGCCTCTCACAATGAATGATTATCCAGCCCAAAATGTCAAGAGAAGTTGAGAATCCCTAGTTTAATGGAAAATAGGTGTCTTGTCCCTGCTATCTGAAAGTTAGAAATGGATCATTTGTACCAAGAATGATGCCTGTGAAGGAAGTATCATAAGTGAAAATTGGATCCCATTGTCTATGACAAAGAAGCAGGATATTATGACAAAAAGGGAAGTGGATTTTCTCACAAATTTTAAGTCGAAATTCACTCTATTTTTGTAGTAAGTGAACCTGAGGAGTCATAGTTCATTCACCTTTTAAATGATTGGATTCCTACTCAGTATATTGTCTGGGGTTATGTGAAGGAAAAAGTATAGAATATATTTCTTAAAGATTTTATTCAAATATGAATATGTTTTTGTTTTAGAAAAAGTTATTTTTTCAGGATCTGAATTTGTAAGACCAACAACTTTTGGATAATGTGTCTTCTTTTCCATATATATATATATATATATATATATATATATATATATCATACTATTTTTCACTATATCAGCAACAAAACAATATATTGTATTTACTAGGATTTTTCATAAAACAGCATTAGGTATTTGGGGAAATATACTAGGTTTTAAACTTTTTTTCCACATGTATAATAAAATAGAAAGTTTTTCTGATTAGCATATTATTTCATTCAAATGATACATTATTATATATCCTGAACATTTAAGTGTTATTTCAGAATTGGCAACTTGTGTATTCTTAGAGGACATATAGTTCCTGCATGTCATAATATTTAATGCCATATAACATTTCATATAATATTCACATTATATTTCCCTTCCCCAAATGGGAAGTTAAATTTAACCATATTAGAATTTTATAATAGAATTTAATACATTTGTTTTAATAAGAATATTAGTTCTGTAATCAGCCTTCTTTCTATGACCTTTTGCTAAACATCTACCAAGTGCCAGGCTCCATACCCCATGCTGTCACCAAGACAGCAACAGAAAGACTTCATGAATCAAACTTTTGTAACCATCCTATGCTAAGTGATTTCCTCTAATAAACTCATCTGTGAGCTATTTTGGATCTTCATGGTAAATATTAAAATATCTTTTATAAAGTAATTGTCTCAAGATTTAGAACTTATCCCAAACTACATAGCATGAAGCACTTTTCTGGCTCTGAAATCTGTACAAGCTGCACAGTAGATCAAGCACCAACACCTGGCACACTAAGCATAATTTTAAAAAGGTTATATAGTTGACCTTTCACGTTTACAGGAAGTTGAAAAAAATCCAACCCTCATTAAGCTCAGGATCCCAGGTTCATTCTCTTTCTTCTTTGTTTCCTTTTCAGCCTCTGCTCCTGATTTTTCAAAGAACCCAATGAAAAATTTAGTTCAGGTGCAGGTGGGCAGCCTGGTGAACCTGGATTGCAAACCCAGAGCTTCCCCCAGGGCACTGTCTTCCTGGAAGAAAGGAAACACAGTGGTACAGGAGCATGAAAGGTATTCTATCCAGCAAGCAGTGGTGATTTAGTTTCTTTTTACCTTCAAAGAGTCAAAATAGGCTTTCCATAAGAAATGCCATGCAGTAGTATTTCAGTAGATGTGAGGTATTTAAGAATTGAAACATTGGTATCTTTGTTCTGTAATATTCTCATACCGGGAACCCCTGAAGAGGATCCTGATCTCCTGCTCGGTGCTACAAGGCAAGGTGAGAAAAGAGACTCAGAGACAAAATCAAAGTGAAATGGAAAACTGCGGTGGTCAGAGCTGAGAAAGCAAAGACCCTGAAACAGCCAGGACCCCTGATATTTATTGGTTACACAATAATTCCTTAAATTGGGGTGAGGAGGCTACATGTGATTGCTACAGAGAAGTTGCTGACACAAGCAAGGTTTGTAAAAGAAGGGTCAAAGCATTCTTGCATTAGAAATAGAATAGACCAGATATAGGTTGTGGTTAATGCTTAACCTGTCTTTTCAGTTAAGAACTTTCAATTCTGGCAGTGGAGTCTAGGTAATAGTCACTCTGACCTTAGTTGTTATGTTATCTCATATCAGAGCCCCTCAGCTGTACTGTGCTGTTGGCAGTGGGATAACACTAGTCTACGCCACTGCAATGCCTCTATGAGTCACATGGGCATTGGTCAGACTCACTTTTTAAAACAAGCCATTTATGGAGTTCACTCTTTACAGCCTGCACAACAGAACTGCTTCAGGAAGTGGCAAGAATGATAGGATAAGTATGTATAAAGTGAGGGGAGTATTTTGAGAAATAATAGGCAAGTTATCTTTTAGTATTACACATTTTTGAAGAGAAGGAGGTATGGGTATAGAGGGATATAAGAGAGAAGGGAGGGGAAGGGGAAGTAAAAAGGATCAAGATGCAGATATATTTTTTTATGTAAATATAAATATATTTTATATATAAATATATATTTTATATATTTATATATGCAAATATATATGTATATATTTATACCAATATCTCACAATGAATATATTCATTACATATCTATTTAGGTTCAGTTTGCTGAGTCTGTGATGATTTGTTATGGCAGCAATGGGAAACTTAATGCCAAGCTCTGCACAAATTATCTCCTTTAAACTTCTCTGTAACCAAAGAGAAAACCAGAGTTTATAGGGATCATGTAATTTTACGTAAAGTTACAGATTCATAACTAGAACCATGTTCTGGTCTAGAGTAGAACCAATCAGGTCTTTTGGTTACCCTTGTCTGTAAAGGAGCCCAGATTATTTGAGGTGATCTCAGTCATTGAAGTCATGAGTCCCAATCATTTCTTTTGGAAATGAGAGGGAAACAAACTATAAAAGCTTAGGCCACGTTTTTGGATTTGCTTTTTTAAGTATCACAAAGTCATACTGCAAATGACCAGGTGGAATTGTTTTTAGATTATAGGCACAGAGATACTGTTATATGATTGGTTATGACAACACATTCTACAATTTCTTCATTATTTAAGGGGCAACTTCTTTATTAAAAGGCCAGTACAGCAGTAGGACAAGGCAAAACTGAACAGAGCAGTTAAACACTATCCAGCCAAATGTGAGGCCACAGAGAATAGATTTCTGGGACAGGATGTTAATTAGTGATTTGAAGTTTGATTTTTATAAAAGTTTAAACAAGTATAGATTCATGAAGCAAATGTTACTTTTGATTATGATACAAGTTGTCTTCCTATACAACTGCTGATTTATTGCATATATATTTTAAATAGCTTTGTTTGGATACCTAGAAATAAATGATGATTGCTTTCTGAGGACTTTAATGCTTTGCACAATAATAAACCAACTTGTCCTCACAGTATTAAATGTAGTAGCCAGAGGACTTTAATCTTAATTACAGGAGGATAAGAAAATTAAGAGATTTAGCTTAAGTAAGCCACACAAGAAGATACATAATATAGTGATGGTGAAGGAAAAAGACCATAAATTTCAGAATATAAACAGATGTTTATGACCTGGCTTCTTAGTTCTTTGGTCTTGTTAGTCATTTTTATATTATGTCTGAACCTTAGTTTTCTCATCTATTAAATAGAAATACTTCTATACCTAATCTATTGGCCTTAAATAAGCATTTAACATAGTGCTGCATATTTGTAGATATACTGATCAGTAAGATTGAGGGTATATTAAAAATTAAAAGGTGAAAGTAATAATAGCTGAGAAAAATTAAGGGATTTTTTTTGTATGCTGGTTGGGTGTGCAATGGTTGGTGTGTCTTCCTGAAGGTAGATATTCAAGGTTACCTGTGTCCTTTAGGGCAAAGGCTCCTGCTATCCAGCTGCCCCAGTAGTCTCACCTCATGAACCAAGATGGCTGTCTAAGCCCCGCCATCCCAGTGGTAACTCAGGAACTAGCAAGAAGGAAGGCAGATGTAAGGATCCCATACAGCATTTTTCCTTATAATATTTTCCCTGACAGCTTACTGATTATAAACTAGTTCCCTGACTACATGTAACAGCAAGAAAACCTGGGAACTATTTGTTTTTGTTTTGTCTTGTTTTTTCCTCTGAATAGAAGTGTGCCCAATAAAAAAAAATGGGGGTCTGTTAAGAAGAATGGAGGGGGAAAATGGTTGCCCTGTGGCAGTATCTCATGGTAATAAGAGCCAGTTCTCAGCCCCTTAACACCTGTGGATCCTCCACTTTGCATCCTGTACTTTGACTTCTCCCCTTTGGATACTTAGGAAGCTTTTAGATATAAGAAGTTTGGAGGCACAAGTATGTTCACATAGGATCTATAGTCCTGCAATCCTTCCCAAGATTATGATTTGGATTTAGTTTTTATCTCTTTGGACAGCAGTGATGATCCAAGGTCTTAATGCTCAGGGAGAAGTCTGCTAGAGCAATTATGGAACAAGTTGTAGAGTTGAATATTCTCCAAGTCCATGGGGAATCAGAGTAGGCTGCAGCCATCACTTGGCACTGAAAGCCCCATGTCTTTCCCTCTTGATTTGCTTTGCAGAATTTACCCAAAACAGGGAAACACATTAAAACGGTAGATTTATTGCTGTTGTTTAATCATAGACTGTTGCAATTTAGAAATTGCAAGTGTAAATCTCATTTTGGGGAAAAATGAATTTATTGATGCATTTTGAAAAAAAATATAAGGTACAGATTTGATGGTATATTTATGATAAGATTTGAAATTCATTACATGTTTTAGTTAGCTAGTTTTGGTAAATGAAGTTTATTTGTCAATAAATAAGAATAAACAGGAAAGCTTTCTCTAGTATAGCATTGGGAGCCTGTAGCAAATATGTTTTGATTAAGCAAATATTCTATTATATATAGTATCGTTCAAAGCTTAAATCAAACCAAAAAATTCAAGTGTTAAATTCTTTTAAGGAATTGTATAAACTGATAAATATAACTACTATATAAATCATATATTTAAATAATTATAATTTATTTGTTTTATACATTTTTATATCAGCACAATAACAGCTTTGGAATTATAAATCAGCTATGGTAATTAGATCTAAGTCAGTGAGGCATCTAAATTACTGATTTGTCTCTAAAAAGTCAGAGTGGTTGCTTTTCAGTATGAAGAACACTTTAAGCTAAGGTTGTAAATGGATTACTGCCCAACAGAGGTCTTAGAAAAGCTGCTCTGAATAGATAACAGGGCTTATGGTGCAAATAGTGATTCTTGAGCACTTGGAATTAAGTTCTCATGCATTTAGTGGAAAATATTTTGAGTAACTGCTATATGCCAGGCTCTCAGTATTTGCTTTAAATCAAAGACACCCATTTGGTTGTTTGGAGCTTATTCAAAATACACAGACAAGACAAGTAACTTGGAGCAGTTACAGCAAAACTCCACTGGTGAGGCCCAGTACACACAGAGATCACCAGAGAAGGCTCCCTCTCCAGGCAGGGACCTGAGCAAGCTTTCTTCAGAATGGAATATCCATAGGAGAACTTGCAACATGACCAGGGGTTGCAGGAGAAGAATACTCCAGGCAAAAGAAAGTGTGCAAAGGCACAGTGGCAAGCATGGCATGGGTATTGCAGTGTGTTCTACCTGCATAATATAATATAGATAATTTATAAATAATAGAAATTTATTTTTCAGAGTTCTGGAACCTAGAAAGTATTAAGTTCAAGGTACTAGTAGATTCTGTATCTGGTAGGAGTTCCCTCTTAGCTCCATAAGTGATGTTTTGTTGCTATATTGTTATATGGTAGAAAAGACAAAGCAAGTCCCTTCAACATCTTTTTAAGGACACTAATTCCATGCATAAGAGTGGAGCAAACATGCCTTAACCTCTTCAGAGTCTCTACTTTTTAATACCACCACCATAGATACAGGTTACTCTCAACAGGAATTCTGGAGCAGGCATTCAGATCATTTTAGTATTTGAATTGCTGAATGTTCAGTGCATCTCCAGCATAAAGTGCCATAGGAGAGGACCAGGCGGAGAGAGTCAGGCTGTAAAGGTGAGCCAGAATCTTATTGGCAGTGACTTTGTAAACCAGATTAAGAAGTTTGGGCTTCATCCCACAGGCAATGGGAAAGAATAGAATAAAATCAAATTAGCAGTGTTACAAGATCTTTCAAATGGAAGGCTGTGATGGCTGTGGGTAGATTGGAGTAGGTAGAGGCCAAATGCATGAACCCTGTCTACAGTGATCCACCAGTCTCAGTAAGCGAATCATATAGCCAGAGCTAAAGCAAGGGCAGTTGGAATGGAGAGAAGGCTTCAGGAGCTTGAGAAATTAATGGTTGATTAGATGTGTGATTTGAATAGAATAGAGAAATCAGAGATGAATCCTAGATTTCCAGTTATATGACAGGGAGCCTCACAGAAAGGACAGGATGCTGAGTTCAGTTTGGGGGATAGGTTGAGTTTGAAGAGCCTAATAAAAAGGTACACCCCTACTCCCCTCACACACACACATAGAGAGGTTACCTATATGAATTTGGAACTTAGGAGAAAGGCCTGGGATACAGATAGAAATCCAGGCCTGACAAACATGGCTATGGTAGCTGACCCATGGATATGGACACAATTATTCTAAGAATGTAGGTATCATTAAGTGGCAGAGAGGCATCTTACCCTGGAAATTCAGACATTCAAAATGTTAGTAGGTATTTGTTTTTTAAATCTCATTTAGTAATTTATTTATTAATTAAAGGTCAACGTAAGTCTCTGGTGCTCAAAATATTCTAAATTTCAAAATCACTAGTATCAGGTATTGAGATTTTTTTTTGGATTTTTTGTTTTGTTTTGTTTTGTATTTGTGTCATCCATTATCAGATAAAGTTTCTGTGGTTTTTTTTCTTGCTTAGGGAAAGTTTTCTGAATAAACAGAAATACTTTGCCTTTTGAGCATCTAATAGTATTTACTAGGTGTTAATGTTTTAGTGTTATTCTATTCATTTATTCATTAAATCCATGTGTTTTCAAAAACAGACAAATTAAAATTGAATCTTTTGTCTCCTTTAAGCAAAATACAATTGAAAAAGGCCCTTGAGAATATGAATAGGCATAGTTTGTGAGAAGAAATAGCCAGTTGGCATATTGTAGAGAATGTATAGCTTTTTTCTATCACTTAATAGTACTTGAAATGCATTAGCCAATTATTTTAAAAAATGAGGGCTTTCATTTGAATGTTATTGCTTATAATAGTAAATATTTTATTGCAATAGCCTCAGTTCAAAAAAGTCAAAGAATGGCCCATTACTTCTAATTAAACACATTAAAATTATTTCCAGTGTTCTATGCAGCATTTAATACTATAGAAATTTAAGTGCTTTTTAAAGAAAGAAAGGGTAAAGATTTCTTCTCAAATATAAATAGCCATAATCCAAATAGAGCTTTTAAAATATATGAGGCAATTCTTAATGCATTTTTGCATACAGTTAGAAGCTTTAAAGTGCAGTGAGCATCATCATCCTGTATGATCCCATTTATGTGACAGTCCTGGAAAATGAACAGCTTTAAGGGCAGAAATCAGTCCTTAAAGCAAGGACTGTTTGCTGCAGGCTGGAACTGGGGGAAGGTGGTAAGACTCGGGAAAAGCAGAGGTATCTTCTGGGGAGAGGAAATTGTTCTAACTCTTGATTGTGACAGTAGTTACATGAATGCGTTCATTTGTTAGCACTCACAAAATCATACACCAATTATATATATATATATATATATATATATATATATATATATATATACACTGCAGTTGTATATATACTCCGATTGTATGTATACTGCATATATACTATAGTTTAAATAAAATTTACATACTATTCTACATTCATTTCATCCAGCTTCATGAGTGGCTCCATTTAGGAGTTTACGTGCTCAAGAAGTGCCCCCAACTTTGTGTTTCCCTTTCGTGTTTGTGAAACATTGAGAAATTAAATGATGGTTCTTAACAAGCAGAATCTAAATGTTTGCCAGTAACTAGGATAACAGAGTCAGAGCCAGGACCACTTGGCAGTTCTGTCAGTGCCTCTCCGAGTGGCCACAGCCTTGCTTTGGTAGCTCTTGGCTAGGTAGTTTCTGTCTCCATGCTTTCCTTTTGGAAGCTTTGCAACCTCCCAATCACCTGGCTGAGGGTATGGCGGCAGGATAAGAGATCAGACAAGATCTTAATGCATAAATGGGGGGCCCAGGATGGTCAAAGCTCTTATCATACTAAGACACTATCTCTGGAGCTTGCTACTATTTATTAAACATACAGCTTCTAGAAAGGGTAAAGGGCAGTGCAGGGAACAATGGAATAAAGAGCACTGATCCAACCAGCGTTCTAGCAACAAGGGAACAAGACAATCTAGTAGGAAGAGATCATTGATTAATAGGAAATTTGTTTTTTCCTATCAATTAATTTCTGCCTCCATGTAAGTTTTCTGTACGGGTCATGCTGCCCTTAGCTGCTCTATTGTCCTGCCATCCAAGATGTCACAGACCATTGAGACCTCCACTGTAGCCAGTGGCATGAGGAGTTGTTCCTTCCCCACACACTAACTGCTGGCTTTTTAGACAAGGCATTGTGGGCTAATAGGCGGACAGACTTTTAATGTGAAAAGCTAGTTTATAAATTTGCAGCTTGCTCAGGGTGGTCTGCATCACTTTCCATTGCTTCTCATTCCTGGCTTTTCTAAGATCATAACTGAGTCTGTTTTTCATACTGTTCAAAATGTTGCTCCATTCCCCATCCAGTCCCATGGGCGCCATGTACTCAGCCAGGGAGCTTGCCTGTTACCAACCCCTCACCCACTTCTACCCAGGTAAGCAGCTGTTCCCTCCTAGTTTTTTAGTAAGTGTGAAAGTTCACTGAGCTTCATTTAATCTACCCTCAGCCACACAGCTGAGATCTCAACAAATCTCTTACTCCTGTGTGCTTAACCTCAAGCTGATTTTAACCCCTGAATTTAGAAGCACTATATGTACAATGCTGTCACTTCAAGGAACTGAATATTTGATGGATTCAGTCTGTATGTCCCTGACCCCTGCCTGCTGGAGGGAAGGTACTCCATCTTGTCCATTACTTTGTTGTATCTTTATCCAGTGCTGCAACTGTGGGCAGCACTGGGTATGCAGAGACGAATAGGAAACATGAAGAACACTCAAGAAGCCCATATCTGTTTTCACTGTGGAAAACTAAACCATCAATTATAGTGGGATAGATTACATGGTTAAAGTGCCCATATAATTTTTCTATAAAGGGAACCCATTTAAAAGGGAAAGGGAGAAGTGTAAGGAATCACCTTCACCAGTACACATAAGCTTCAATGGATGAGGACCCTGGCCTTGCCATCCTGTCTGTGATGGGGCCATTCGTAAAGCAGCAAGAAGCACAGAGAAGAGATGCTGTCTCAGCCTGGGGAACAGGAGAGTAGCTTCTCCATAAGGCAGGCATCTCACAGGAAATGACATGAAGTGGAGCAAGGAAGGAGTAGGAAAAATGTCATCTGTATAAAAAGAGCGCATAGATAAGAAGTGAGACTCAATTTTTGCCAGAGTTTTTGTTTTTGTTTTTGTTTTTGTTTTTTGTACCTGGACTTGAACTCAGGGCCTCACACTTGCCAGGCAGGTGCTGTGCAGCTGAACTTCATCCCTAGCCTGAGACTCAATTTTTGTACCTTTATTTCAGTTATTTTCATGGCAAGGCTCATATAATCACAAAAACAAGAAAGCTTGGCTTTAGTTCTTTCTCAGACCAAGAACAGACCCTCTCTCTCCAAGGAAGTGGCCATTGGAACAGATCATTGTTTGTAAAGGGAAGACTATCCTGGGCACATGTGCAAGATTCTCCATGAGTGGAGAAGAACCTCCTTGCCTCCTGGGCTTCCCCAGCTTGCACCTTCATTCCTCTTGTGCTTAAACCTGGTAACAGAAGAGGAAAGGGTCCATTCGCCCTAATTCCCATACCCTAAGGGAAGATTAAGCTGAGGATTTAAGCGTGAAGACAGTCAAATGAAGAGTCACTACAATTTAAGAGTTTTAATTTGGCTCAAAGAAGGCAGCAAATCATGTCCTTTTAACCACATGACATCAACTACCACCGCTGCATACCTGCACAGCTTCCCTTGTTAACCAAAAGACAGTTTAAGTTTATTTGTATCATTATTTGCATGAATTATTTATGCCTACTTGGCATGCAATATACTAATTGCTATTCACATTATGCTCTGTGTCAGATAAATATAAATTTTATTTGCTTTTTGTTAAGTATGTGGAAAGAGCAAAGGGTTGAAGTCTGAAAGACATAGGTCAAATGTTGGGTCTGCCACTTACCTAACTGTATAGCGTTAACAAGCTATATACTCCCTAGTCTTGGATTCTTTATAAAATGAGGACAGCGATTTTTAATTTGTAGGGTTAGTCTGTTGAGAGGCATTTGACTGACACAAGATCTTGGCTAGAGGTGAACTAAAGAAACTGGCCTTTTCTGACAAGTAGAGAAACACATGGTTTTCTTTGAACAAATAATTTATAAGCCTGCCCCACCCAATTTGGCTCAGATTCTTGGCTACCCTTCTCTTTATCCCAGTGGACTCTAGTTGTGAAGCTAAAAATGAAATAATATAAATCCCAGCACTCAGGAGGCTGAGGCAGGAGGATTGCCATGAGTTCCAGGACAGCCTAGACTACACAGTGAGTTCAAGGTCACCCTCTATATTGTGAGACAAGTGAACTATATAGTGATACAAGGTCTCAAAAAAAGAAAAAAAAGTACTAGAGCTGCTTCTATATAAGTCCTTGTAAAACGGCATCCAGTGCTATTGATACAATTTTTAATACTGCCTTTTTTCATGATGTTCCTCAGACACCTGAAGACTAACAAGAATTGGCCAAAAAGAAGGTAACCCACAGACCTTTCTTTTAGATCAATAACCTTATATAAACCTTCTTCAGTACATAAGTTCTACTCAATATTGTTTTAAAATAAATTGATGAGAAATGTTCTCTAAAATTGTATAAACTAAGTATTGCACATGACCACATGTTTCTTAAATTCATCTTTCAAATTCAGTTTTTATGGATTATGTATGTTAGAGACACTTTAAGAAATGCTTTGTCAAGTGTTTTGATTTTGGTAAGGGAATGCTGAGTAATGAATCTGAATTGCAGGTTATTGGAAGCTACTTCAAAACAGCTTATTGTTAGAAATGGGTAAATAAATTCACATGCATATGCAACTTAAGTGTTTTGTTTATTGGGTGTATCTATGCATTCCACATCTTTTTTACTTCTTTTTTTTTTTTTGTACCGGGGATTGAACTCGGGTCCTTGCGCTTGCGAAGCAGGCGCCCGAACCACTGAGCTAAATCCCTGGCCCAGATTCCACATCTTTTTGTTCATACAGCATTTGACACTCGACTCCCCAAATCGCACATGTATGTGTCCACATCCCAGTCTATGCTCTGTCCTTCCTCTCATTCAAAATTCAAAGAAAAAATATATTAGTGCAGTTGTAGAAAACTGCAATATCATTACTCACTGCTTTTGCATGTCTTTCCGATCTGTAAAGATAGGAAGAAACGGGAGCTTTATTTTGATCTAAGAATGCTATTTAACACTATCAAGATGAAATACAAGAGTGTATATCTGTTGCCTTTTAAAAATTTTTTAATAGAAAGGAAAAAGAAGCAGAACTCTCCTTGCTCTTCATTTATGCCCTTACAGTTTCTTCTGGCTGGAACCTGTTTCTTTCTTAACCTAGAAAACCACAATTTACTCCCCAAGGTCTAGATTTATAACATGTCATGGGAAGCCTTCCTGAAGTTCAGTGAGCAAGGCTGTGTTCTCTTCTATTTTGTTCTTGTAGTTTCCTTGTATTGAAGGTATCCCATAACATTATGTGGGTTTTGCAGAACACCATCTCACCTGTGTCCTTGTAGGGCCTTTACCTTATCTATTTTTGTTTCCTCAGTCTTTTGAGCTTTTAAAGTACAAGAATGACACTAGTTAAAAGTTAACTCTGGTTGCAGAAGGGAAAATGGGTTGAAGAAAGAAAGGAAGCATGACTCAGTAAAAGGCAAGCTATTGTCAAACCAAGAATAAGTGGAGGCTTGATTTAGGGTAAGGTAGTAAAAATGGAGAGGAGGATGCCGTATGTTGTGGAGGTAGAGCTAGATGGATATATACCTCAGATATAAATTTTCATACATAATTATCACATTTTATGGCTAGCTTGGCCCTGTATGGATCTCCTTAGGCCATTAGATTTTAAGTCTCTAATGAATAGGATCTAGTTCTTACTCATATTTACAATTTGCAAAACAAGGAGTGCATTGTAAGTATTCAATAAATCTTGAAGTGAATTTCATTCTTTCTTGGACAGCTTCCCAATTCTTAAAAATACCTATAATTCTTGATTTCATGTAGATTGATTTTACTATTTCTTAGAAACATATAAAATTGATTTTTCAATAGAATTCCACTTGAGATCTCCTATTGAAAATAAGGAGAGTGTGCTATTTTAGCGTATCCCATCCTGAAGCTCTTCACAGAATTGAGCTCTATGCATGAATGAAAGGAAGAAAGGATGGACAGATGGATGGATGGACAGATGGATGGATGGATGGAAAAATGGATGAATGGGTGGGTAGATGGTTGGTCAAATGGACATCTGGGTGAGGTGCTATTGTGCCCCTGAAAAGAAAAATGAACAACAAAGTATTAGTATTGATTGCTTCTTCCTCTAGTCTAATTCCTGGAGAGAGGTTTTTCATATTTTCAATCTGTTATTTAATGAGTTGGGTCACTGAGGTAAGTTTCTTACTGCCTAGAAAACTGAAAAAAATAATTTTGCCCTATGACCTATTTTCTACTTGATGATCTTACTTGAACATTTTTAATTCTATCAAAATTCAGATTTTATGGGCTGGGGATTTAGCTCCATGGTGTCCTGACTGCTTCTCAAGAACAAGGTCCTGAGTTCAATCCCCAGTACCGCCAAAAAAAAAAAAAAAAAAAAAGATTTTTGCAGATTTTATTGCTAGAGCAGTTTTTGTAGGAAGATGAAAGTATCTGACCCTTTTTGGGTATAAAATCATGAAAAAATTGATAATTGAGGTAGAATGTATAAAACTATATCCTGTTTTGGAGAAAAAGAAGAGATTATTTTCTAACCTTGCACATCTAAATACTAAACCAATCAGTACCTTTAACTTTAGCATAAAGATTTTTTAGGGACTTGATTTTCCATACTCCTTATTAACATAGTTAATTGGGAAAATCATAGTAGTTTAAAGTTTGATATAATTTTTACATTTATCTAGTTTAGATAATTAAAAAGCTTCTACCTACAATACTTATTATTTATCACATTAGCCTGATATTAATAACTTCATGTCTTCTATTTTATTTCATTTTTATATAATATTTCTTCCAGAAGGCCCGTAAGACAGTTTATAAAAGAACAACACAGAGAATGAATGTTGCGGTGAAAAAATTGGAGAGAAATATGTCAGAGTTCCAATTTTCTAGGATGAAAGTTACATTAAGTAACGTGGATCCTTCCTAGGGGATCTTTATACTTATTACAGAGTATGGCCCATAGTACAAGTTTAGATAATATTTTTGGATTGGATGTCTCAGGTTAATTATACCAAGCAAGCCACAAGTCCATTCCTTAGTTAAGGTCCAAAATTTTGGTTCAAGGCCTTGTGCCAGCAAATGAGAATAATTCTGCTGATTAACAATCCACAGTATCCAGACAATGAAATAAAGCCATCTGATAAGGACAAATCCACCTATTCCTAGGCCAAGAAATGTGTATATGTGTGTCCAAACCCAGGGGGCACTCATGAAGAAAACACTGAGTAATGTACCACTAACATTCAACATCCCTGAAATACAGTGCGTTCAGTTTTAAAGGTTTCTTCTGTTCTTACAATCCAAAAGTAACTTAGAATATTAAAAAAGACTCAAAACTCTCCATGTAGATATGGACTGCCTTTCTTTTAGCCCCCTTTCCATGAATAGTGTTTATTCCATATGTGCGTTTTTAATAAGGTTGAAGTAGAACTTATTTCAGGTGTATACTCAGCATCAATCGTCTGCAGTACCAAGAAGGTGCTCAGGTGAAAATTACGAGTCAGGTGCAGAAAGAGTCAGTTGGACTAGTATGAAAGTTTATCATCTTGTTAGAAATGGGGTAGCTTACGTTCAGTGTGTGTCTAAATAGATGATTGGCTCTCTGCCTGGAAGAGGAACAAGAATATTCACATTATGATTTTTGAGTTGTTTCTTAGAAGACCCTTTTTTTTGTTGTGTGGACAAGTACATAATTAAAGACAAATGTATTTAAGTTATGTAACATTAACATTCTATTTTTATGCAAGTTAATTTTTAAAGGACAAACTATCTAGTGTACACAGTCATCATAAGAAAATATCTCCATAAAGCGCTTCTAAGAAAACTGACACTGAAGCATGTAAGACAATGAAGTTCCAAGCGTATTTCCTGCAGTGGATGAAGTGAATTGCTAGCAGGGATCCCCAACCTGATGCCCATCAAATCTGGAAAGAACCAATCCATCCTTAAATGTATGTCAGAACTGTTGATGTTGGGCAGGGGATTTAGCTCAGTGGTTCTGCTGCCTGCCTAGCAAGCGCAAGGACCTGAGTTTGATCCCCGGTACCAAAAAAAAAAAAAAAAAGAACTGTTGATGTCATATGTTCACATACATCTCTCATATGAGAGGGACCTTAAGACTTTACAAGTGCACAAAGAGCTTAATGTCCCAGAAAGGTTAGAAACATGAGATAAGATTATAAATGACCCACTTAAATATTGATGGATATCTGTAAAGTGAACTCTGTGAAATTGGACTAGAGAGGCAAAACTATTCTATCTTGCAAGAAAACCAAAGCAGGACAGGTTTTTCTTGGACCATTTTTTTTTTTTTTCTTGGTACCAGGGATTGAACTTGGGTCCTTGCACTTGCAAGGCAGGTGGCAGAACCACTGAGCTAAATCCCCAGGCCCAACCACTCTTGATTTATCTTGAAATAAGACTAAGACTTCTCTACATAGAAAATTGTTTCATGAACTCTTAATATTTGTTGAAAAAATAAATGTTTATTGAAAATACAGTGTACAAAGAACGAGGTCTTAGAAGCTTTATCCTTTAAGGATTTGGAAATTCTAGCTGCAAATTAATGTAAGGATATTACACAGAATTAGTAGCTAAATAGAACCTGACTTAGGAATGGTTAACAAATTGGAAGCCTCCAGAAATCTTGGGAGCCGACATGGTTCTGTCTTGTCAGGGAGTAAATTAATCTCATTCATTGTTTTGTCACAAATCACAGTTTGAACAAAGAGAGCATAATGTGCACAGTGTTTCTATGTAATCCCAACTGCAGCACCACCAATAGCACCTGGAAAATTGTTAGAAATGCAAATTCTGTGTCCCCATCCCAGCATCTAATATGGTGCTAGACCTAGCAATGGGTAGTTTAAGAAGTCTTCCAGGTGACTGCTCTACAGTAAAGTTTGAAAACACGGACATGTCACATGGCTGCCCCTTGTCTGGCTAAGACAGGGCACTATGATTCATAGCCCTACCAAGAATGTGTGCAGCAGGGAAAAGGAATGCCACAAAAGAAACTCAGTGTTGACTACTAAAGGAAAGGAATCAATTCTAGGCAGCAAAAATAATTCAGCATCTTCTACAACCCCTGAGTTAATGAAACACCTCTTATGTGTGCAACATAAGTCTATTGCCCTTCAGCATTATTGTTGGAAGTGACTTCTAGTCCTGGGCTTCTAGTCCCTACCTCCAAGGACACCGATTGGAGTAACATTTGAATTTTTCGCCAACCATTCTCAGAGAAAGTGTCTGATTCCTGGA